GAACCCGACTTGACAAAGGGGTCTGTGCCTTGAGATGTTGTCCTCCCCCCCTCCCCCTCCTGCGGGTGTCCTCCTGTAGTTACCGCTATCTGTACTCTCCGGCATAATGTTTATGTAGCCCAAACGCCGCCCAGCTGCTATCATCTACTCCAGAGGTTCCCAAACTTTATTTTTATCTTTGCGCCACCCCCTCCCCCAATCAGTCGCTCTAACAGTGGGAGGGGCTTACATGGGTATCATTAATTAAAACCTGAGCCTACGCTGCTCTGGGACAGGAGTGTGTAGTGCACAGAGTGCGGGATTCAGGAGTGCATAATGCTCTGGATGCAGTGGGGCAGTAGTAAGTAACCCACAGAGTGCAGGGGTAAGGATTAAATTGTACACAGGGTGCAGGGGTAAGGATTAAATTGTACATAGGGTGCAGGGGTAAGGAGTAAATTGTACACAGGGTGCAGGGGTAAGGAGTACATTGTACACAGGGTGCAGGGGTAAGGAGTAAATTGTACACAGGGTGCAGGGGTTAGGAGTAAATTGTACACCGGGTGCAGGTGTTAGGAGTAAGTGAGGCACAAGGTGCAGAGGTTAGGAGTAAGTAAGGCAGGGATTACTGCAGGGGTTAGGAGTAAATTGTACACACCGGGTGCAGGGGTCAGGAGTAAGTCACACAGTGCAGAGGTTAGGGGGAAGTAAGAAACAGGGTGCAGGAGTTAGGAGTAAGTAAGGCACAGGGTGCAGGGGTTAGGAGTAAGTAAGGAACAGGGTGCAGGGCTCAGGAGTAAGTAAGAAACAGGGTGCAGGATTTAGGAGTAAGTAAGGAACAGGGTGCAGGGATTAGGAGTAAGTAAGTAACAGGGTGCAGGGGTTAGGAGTAAGTAAGGAACAGGGTGCAGGGGTTAGGAGTAAGTAAGGAACAGGGTGCAGGGATTAGGAGTAAGTAAGAAACAGGGTGCAGGAGTTAGGAGTAAGTAAAAAACAGGGTGCAGGGGTTAGGAGTAAGTAAGAAACAGGGTACAGGAGTTAGGAGTAAGTAAGGAACAGGGTGCAGGGGTTAGGAGTAAGTAAGGCACAGGGTGCAGGGGTTAGGAGTAAGTAAGGAACAGGGTGCAGGGGTTAGGAGTAAGTAAGGTACATGGTGCAGTGGTTAGGAATAAGTAAGAAACAGGGTGCAGGGGTTAGGAGTAAGTAAGGAACAGGGTGCAGAGGTTAGGAGTAAGTAAGGCACAGGGTGCAGGGGTTAGGAGTAAATTGTACACAGGGTGCAGGGGTAAGGAGTAAATTGTACACAGGGTGCAGGGGTAAGGAGTAAATTGTACACAGGGTGCAGGGGTTAGGAGTAAGTAAGGAACAGGGTGCAGGGGTTAGGAGTAAGTAGTGAACAGGGTGCAGGGGTTAGGAGTAAGTAAGACACAGGGTGCAGGGGTTAGGATTAAATTGTGCACAGGGTGCAGTGGTGAGGAGTAAATTGTACACAGGGTGCAGGGGTAAGGAGTACATTGTACACAGGGTGCAGGGGTTAGGAGTAAATTGTACACAGGGTGCAGGGGTTAGGAGTAAGTGAGGCACAAGGTGCAGAGGTTAGGAGTAAGTAAGGCAGGGATTACTGCAGGGGTTAGGAGTAAATTGTACACAGGGTGCAGGGGTTAGGAGTAAATTGTACACAGGGTGCAGGGGTCAGGAGTAAGGCACCCAGTGCAGAGGTTAGGGGGAAGTAAGAAACAGGGTGCAGGGGTTAGGAGTAAGTAAGGCACAGGGTGCAGGGGTTAGGAGTAAGTAAGGAACAGGGTGCAGGGGTTAGGAGTAAGTAAGGTACATGGTGCAGGGGTTAGGAGTAAGTAAGGCACAAGGTGCAGGGGTTAGTAATAAGTAATGCAAAGCGAGCAGGGCTCAGGAGTAAGTAAGGAACAGGGTGCAGGAGTTAGGAGTAAGTAAGGAACAGGGTGCAGGGGTTAGGAGTAAGTAAGGAACAGGGTGCAGGGGTTAGGAGTAAGTAAGGCAGAGGGTGCAGGGGTTAGGAGTAAGTAAGAAACAGGGTGCAGGGGTTAGGAGTAAGTAAGGAACAGAGTGCAGGGGTTAGGAGTAAGTATGGCACAGGGTGCAGGTGTTAGGAGTAAGTAAGGCACAGGGTGCAGGGGTTAGGAGTAAGTAAGGAACAGGGTGCAGGGGTTAGGAGTAAGTAAGGTGCAGGGGTCATGAGTAAGTAAGGTGCAGGGGTCAGGAGTAAGTAAGGTGCAGGGGTCAGGAGTAATTAAGGTGCAGGGGTCAGGAGTAAGTAAGGTGCAGGGGTCAGGAGTAAGTAAGGTGCAGGGGTCAGGAGTAAGTAAGGTGCAGGGGTCAGGACTATGCCATGCACAAGGTGTACAGGTCAGAGAGAGAGAATCACTTACAATAAAATGACCTGAGCTGGGTATACTGAACCTTGCGAGGTGTGCGGGCTGAGGGTGGTGTGTG